TGTGCCCAAGATGTTATTGAATTCGCCCCCAAAGTATTGAACCAATGCTTTGCTTTATTTTTGAGTGTGAAAGGGAAGAGAAGTAGAATAAGAACTTCCTCCGGGACATCCATATATTTTACAGTGGAACATATTTCAAAGAATTCATTAAGATGTTTATAGGGTTCCTCATCATCTAAGCCATAAAAGAGTGGACACATTTGAATAGTCTCGGGCTTGATTTCATATTGATTTGCTTCAAAATTAGGCAACACAATACAAGTAGGTGCATGATATGTATGAAGATTGTAGTGATCACGAAGGACCATTGGAGGAATTGGAGCTTGAACTCCAGGGCCATGTTGATTAATAGGGGGCTTTTGCATGAAACGTGGGTCTAAGTAGCCAAGATTACCTTCTAGATTTTTCATGTGAATGCCTAGGTCAAACGACATGATAAGGACTACCTAAGACTTCCAGCAACACACGAATCACAACAAAACAAGCAAGCACTTCTCCTTCACAACAAATTAACAATCAACAAATTTCCTCCACATATAATGTTCCCATACTCCCATGCTTTAACAATATGCAAGAAAGTAAATTGCCTTCACATGGGCTCACGATTTATCTAAGAATTGAAATACAAGCCTCCACGCGGGCTGACGATTTAACTAAGGGTTTGAGTAAGAAAAAGCTCACAAAGGTCCTTTAGCACTTCAACTCCAAATTTTTAGTTTTTAGCTTAGCAATTTTTTTATTTATGATTTTAGCCTTTTTCCTTGCTTGCTTAGCTCCTTTGCTTGAATACTCCTTTACTCACCTTCTTAGCCCAATGCTCCTAGTCAAACAAGAACAAACACAATAAGTAATAAAAATTGAAAACAAAGTAAAGACATGATCAAAAGAGTACTAATTCCTAATTGATTCCACAAATATGACGTTGCCAATCAATCAATCCCCGGCAATGACGCCAAAGACTTAGTGTGTCGTCAATTCAAACCCAAAGTTTATGCAATGTGGCCAAGTTTTACATTTAGAAATTGCCACTACTATTTTTTACTAAAAATATAGCTAGGGCAAGTAGGGATCGTCCCAAGGGATTGAGGTGTCGAACTAGGTTAAGGAATCAAAATTTGGGTTAGTAGGTCGAGTGATCAAAATAGTGGTTGGTTGGTTGGATTACACTAGATGCAAATTAAACTAAGGTACACAATATTGCAATAAAGAGAATAAAAGAGAGAGAGAGAGATCTTGGGGTTTAGAGATCACCACTAAGCATAACTTTTCTACACCCTTAATGAATGATTAATGAGGGAAAAACATGTATTGCAATAAGGTGTGTGTGTGTGGTTGTTTCAACAAGCATGGATGACAAATTAAGCATATATTGTCTAAACAACATGCTGGATAGCACAACATATCAAATTAAGCCATTAATCATTTCTTTAAGCTCACAATCCAAACACATCACAAGGTTAGAGATATATGTTACTTGCTTTCATAAGTATAGAATATCAACAACAAGCATGGATTGTCCTCCCATTTAACAATTACACTACAACTAAGCTAATGGCATGAAATTAAACTAATTAAATTAAGGGAGAGGTACAATCCATCAAGAAATGAGTATGAACCATCAAAAAAGCCACAAGAACATGCTATTTAACACTATGTCTTGACAATCTCTAGATCTATAGCATCAATACACATAGACATGCATCAATAACACAAGAAATAGAGACAAACACATGAACATCTATTCTAGTATACATAAACATATGGATAGAATGAAATGGTCAATTGGAAGCATTAAACCATATAAATTATTGAATAAACAAGATATATATATATATATATAAAAGTGTCAAAACATGAATTACAATACAAATCCACTCAAAAATACATAAATCAAGAAGTAGAAAGTATGCTTAGGGCTAACTCTAGCCCCAAGAAGATGTCTAGCCACTCATGGATGATGTCCTCCAACCCTCAAGGGCAAGCTCCATGGAAGAAATCTACTCCTTGGTTGATGAAGAGTCTCCAATGGTGTCTCTAGCCTCCTCCTCTCCTTTGCTTCCTCACTAAGTATTATCTTCTCTATGTGTGTGTATCAAAGTATATCCTCAAAAAGTGACTCATATTCCTTATATAGGTAGGTCAAAAATCACCCCAAATGAGTTGGGCTCGTACTCCAATAATCCTCTAATGATTGGATATGAGACAACTTTTAATGAGCTGGAATTTGAATTTTTCTCAGGATTTGGGAAGTTCGATCTATTGAACTTGAGGTGAGATCGATCGAACATGGCTGAGATCTATCTAATTGAAGTTGGATCGATCCTCAATGGCGGCGCCTTTTTGTATAAAAACAAATTGAGATATTTTGAAGATATTTTTAGGAAAAGGACAAAAAGTGGTTGGTAGGGTGGTACAATTGGATAAGATCAATCATTTGGATAAAGACAAGATGGTTCGATCGATCAGAGAATGATGTTGGATCGATCGAACTTGTGGGATCTCTAAATAGGAACAAACATGGCTCAGATCTATCTTGAAGTGTTGAGATCGATGAAAGTTGGATCGATCGAACTTTTATAGAGATCGATCGAAGTTGCTGAAATTCCACCCTTTGCTTCTTTTTACTCTACCTTGCTCCTTTCTTTGATTCATCCCAGAATTGCTTCAATTATGCTCTTAATTGGCTGAGTTAGCTTATTTTGGGGATAAGTACCTGAAAATGGAAATAATACAAAATCAATCTAAAACGGAAAAATAAGATAGATAAAGGTTCTAGAATACCTAAGCTTAAGGGGTTTAAATGTTCACTTTTCAGCGCTCATCACAATATAATTACACTTTAGCAAATCAACCATGCCATTATAAATATATTTATTTATATAAATTGGCAATTCAACCATGCCTCTTTTAAGTATATTCATTTATACATTGGCAATTCAACCATGCCTCCATGTATGTATATTTATTTATACATTGGCAATTCCACCATGCCTCCACAAATATATATATTTATACTTTTAAACTAGTAACTCATTCATGCTTCCTATATATGTATTTTATTCATACAAATACTTAGGCAACATATTTACGCCTATGGCAATTCATCCATGCCTATAATTCAACCATATACCAACTTTAAACTTAACGACGAATTAAATCACACATAAACATCTCATGCATTTCATAAGTATACCACTACTTTAATAACTATCCTATCCAAAGATATCAAATAAGAATAATTAATATTAATCATCTTAAATGATATCTACATATGCACATATATTATTTAATATATATATGTGTGTGTGTGTGTGTGTGTGTCTGTGTGTGTGTGTGTGTATATATATATATAACATCTTCCTTAATAATCCTTGATTACTTAAAATCATATATACATATATATCAACAATTAAATATATATATATATATATATATATATATATATATATTTATATATACTTCTATCCATACAACTCATAAATTAAATAAACCACATATTTACATATATAAATATAAATATATATATATATATATACACCTCCTTCCACCACCAATTATTATTTAATTGTATATATATAAATTAAATATCGTGGTGATACTTTATGGCTCTGAGAATACCAATAACAAATGGTGAAAAACAGAAACATTACAATTACAGAGTTCTTGGTGGTTATGTGGGTTTGGCGGTGGTTGTGGTGTGTGTGGGTATGGCTGTGGCTGTGGCTGTGGTTGTGGTTGTGGTTATGACGGTATGTGTGTAGGTAAAGGGTTTGAGAGGAGAAAGAGAATAAAGTGAGAAGAGATAAAAGGGGTATTTAAGTCAATAAAAAGGGTTACATTTTTTAATTTTATACTGAAGGATAATATAGTGTCTTTATCCATTTTATCAGTGTGAGGGGGTGTTACTGTCCAAAAAATAGGTAACTAGTATCTATTTATTCTTTTGGCAAATCTCAAGGGGTGTTGTTGTACTTTACCTTAAGTTTTATCCAACTTAAGTTTTTTCTCATGCAAGTTTTAATGATATGTGAGACTTATACGTTGAAAGAATAATTCATTTGACATGAAAAAGTTGTATGCCAATAACCCTTTTCCAATCTCTCACGTTTTGTTGTTTCTTTAGGCACAATGCTCTTAACGTCCTCAATAGAAATTGTACACATTTTTAATTTTTGATTGAAAACGAAAAATTTATTCACAGAAAACTAAACCAAACATTAAATTAACAAAGCATAACAATGCCAGTTTACTTTTTAATTATATTCGAAATCATAGCCCTAGACAATATAATAATAATAATTATAATTATAATTATAATTATTTATTTTTTCTTTGGGTGGTTCGAATTTCTGAATTCTTGATCTTAAAAATTGTAAAAATTTAGCCTCTAATGGAAAGTTATCATTGCGACTTTTTTCGTAGGAAAACACAGTACTTAAACTTCCATTTTTTATGCAAGAAATAAATTGCATGAAGGAGAAAAACAAAGATAAGACTTGTACGATGAGAAGCAATTGAAATTATTTTTGTGCAATTACATTTATCAAGTTGATTTAATTAATTATTGTCTCATAGGATATGGTTCCATAGAGAAATCAACTATCTAGAATCACTCAACATGATCAGTTGTTATCTATATCAAATTATGTCATCAATAAATACAACATAGGATGTTATGCTAAATGAAATATAGGATGTTATGCTAACGTGGTATCATGACCAATTCACATTTATAGCAAAATTTAAATGATAGGTTCAGAAGATATTGGGTACACTAGGCATACTATGTCATTAGTAACGTCTATTATGTGAAAATGTCATATCAGCATTTTTGTCAATATTTTTTTATACGTAGTTGGGACAAATTTCGTGGGTAAACAAGGGCAAACATCCATTAAAGCTGTTTAGCTTGCATTTAGTTGAAAATAGAGTTGTCCTACATGTAGAAATGTTTGTCCCTCATGTAAAAATGCTGACAAGAAGATGACTGCGTGCGTTTTTATCGAGTGGGCGTTACCAATGGTGTAGCATGACTGGATACCCAATATTTTCTTCTTTACATGTCAATTAAAGGCTGATTTTAATACTAGAATTAACAACTCTCACAACATTTTATGTGATGAGTTAAGATTCTGATTCAAATTTGGTGGCTAAACGAGAAAAAAAAAAAAAAAAAAAAAAAATTATATGTTCTATATGAAAGAAAATAGTTAGATGGATGCAAGTAGAACAAGCTAAAAATTTCTAAGATATTGCAAAACAATTATTCATAAACTATTACGTTAATCGCTTGGAAAAAAAAAAAAAAAAAAATTTATTAAGTGACATCGATCATGGATGACCACGTGATATATTCTACTATAAGCCATTACTTTCCCCAACTCATAATTAAAGAAGAAATCAGAACTACTTGCAGACACTTGATTCAAGGCCTCATTAAATTTTCAAGAACTATGGTTTTGAACTTCTGGAGCCTAACTAGGGCATCTTCCATGTTAATCCTCTCCTCAGGTAACTCTGATGTGCATTCTAGAGCCAATTTGAAGATAGATGGCAAAAAATTTTGTATGGCAGTAAAATTTTCTTCCTCTCCACTCACCAAATTAACATCCACAACATCCATCACTGCACTTGGAAAAGACTCAGATACCCAACTCTTCAAGCTCACTTCTCCCACGAATAGATCATCGGTCGGTTTCTTTCTTGTAAATGTTTCCAATAGCAGGATTCCATAACTATATACATCACCAGCAACAGAAACTATTCCGGCTGACCCATACTCTGCAACATCACTACTCATTGTCAACTCAACAAAGGAAAAACACATTATGTATAGAGAAGAAAGGAACGATAAGCAAAATACATGGAGATGCTTAGCCATGACAATAAAAATGAACTAGTTAATATGTATAGTAGTTCTTATCTTATTATTACCCCTTCTATCCCATAATAGTTGGGTGCTTTGGGAATTGTAACTTACAACAGAGGGAGTATTATTTTTGACAGTTAGCATATGTAAACAGAATAAAAACACTGAAACACAAATGTTTATATGCTCTCCATGGTTTTTTTTTTCCTTCCATATTTCTGGAGATTGATATATAGAGCTAAAATATTTAAATAATTGTGTTGTAGCATATCATTAGAGAATGAATTAAGTTTACCTGGTGCCATATACCCAATGGTGCCCAAGGTCTTTGTGTGTGTTGACTTGTTCTCTGCCAAGAGCTTTGCTATGCCGAAGTCAGCTACATGCGCGACCATGTCTTCATCTAATAGGATGTTGCTTGGCTTTAGGTCACAATGCACAACAGAGGTTGAAGAACCACGATGCAGATACTCCAAGGCAGATGCCACATCTATCATAATGCCTAATCTTTCGACAATATTCAAAAAGTAGTTGTGAGAATAAAGGCAGTTCTCAAGGTTCCCGTTAGACATGTATTCAAGCACCAAGGCTTTGAAATCGAGGTTCGAGCAACTGGTGATTATCTTGACAAGATTTCGGTGGCGAATGTTGCGAATTACTTCGCACTCTGCATCAAAACTAGTGAATGCTCTTTGCAACTCCAAATCAAAGACCTTTACAGCAGCTATCATTCCATCAGAGAATGTCCCTTTGTATACTGTGCCAATGCTTCCCTTCCCAATCAAATTGCCTTCACTAAAATGGTTTGTTGCATAAAGAATCTCATGATATGAAATTCTTCTTTGTGTTATGCTAATTGGTGGATCAACTTGAATCGGAATTTGCTTATTTTTGTTTCGGTTGAATTTTAGCCACCAAATTAAAAGAGCTACTCCAACTACCACTAATGCAACAACCGATGGTACAATGAATTTTAGGACAATCTGAATCTTCCCTGATTTTCTGTGACTTTTACATGCTTTGACATGGAACTGAGGTGCTCCGCACAATGCATCATTTTGGCTGAAAGACTCGGGGGTGAAGTTGGCAAAAGGTCCTCTAGTGGGGATTTCTCCGGTTAGTCTATTGAAAGAAACATTGAAATATTTAAGATCTGAAAGTTTCTCCAACGACTTGGGGATCACACCAGAAAGATTATTCCGAGAGAGGTTCAAGGATTTCAAGCTTATCAAATTAGAAAATGACAAGGGTATGGGGCCTTGTAATCTATTCTGACATAGATCTAAGGATTCCAAGCTCTGGAGTTGACCAATGGTGCTTGGAAGTTCACCTGGGAACTGATTTTCTGACAGATACAACTCGCTAATGTGTTTCAAATTGCCAATTTCTGGAGGTAGAGAGCCGGTTAGAATATTGGAGGATAAGTCCAGAGTAATGACATCCTCCAGGCTCCACAAAGTTGGTGGAATTTTTGAAGTCAGTACATTGGAGCCTAAAGAGAGGATTCGTAATGAAGTTACTAGTCCTAAACAGTTTGGAATTGGGCCAGAAAGCTTATTTCTTCGCAAATTCAACTCAAATATGTTTGTCAAATTGCAAAAAGAGTTGGGTATCAACCCCTGAATTACATTTTCAAATATTTCCAAACGTTGAATTTTGCTTAGCTGCCCGAGTGTATTAGGAATTGATCCTGTCAAGTCATTACCTCCCAACCCCAATAACACTAAGTTGCTCAAATTACCAATTGCACTAGGAATCATGCCTCTGATGCCACTAGAAGTTGCATAAAATTGTTGGAGTGAAATGGACAAATTTCCCCATAACTTTGGAAGAATGCCATTCAGGGGATTACCTCCTATAGCTAGAAGCTTCAAAAGCTTGCAATTGGTCAATGAAGAAAGAAAATCTATTTCAGGGCCAGACTGATCATTGGTCAAGTTATTAACTAGAAGGCTGAGATATTCGAGGTGCTGTAAATTCCCAAGAGTCATGGGTACACTACCGTTGAAAAAGTTTTCCCTTAGAGAGATTCTAGTTAGTTTTGAGGCATTTGAGATAGAGCAAGGAATTGGTCCACTGAATTGGTTCCTAGCAAGGGAAAAAAGCTTTAGATTTGGAAGCCAAAGGCCTATAGTTGACGGAAGATTCCCAAAAAACTGATTCGCAGGAAGTAAAAGGGTTTCCAATGTAGAGATGTTGAAAATTGAGTGTGGTGGTGCACCACCGAGGTTGTTAATTCCCGTGGATAAAAAATTCAAATTCAATAGTTGTCCCAATTCCTGAGGAATACTGCCGTGGATATTGTTTTCACCAATGTCGAAGACCTCTAAGTTGGACATATTAACAACCGAAGGTGGAATCTTACCTGTCATCTTATTTCTGGCGAGTGCTAACACTTTGAGCTTGGTTAAGTTGCCGATCCCCATAGGTATGCTCCCTGTGAATTCATTGAATGATATCCATTGAGCTTGAAGTTGGGTACATTTGTGTAAGCTGGTTGGCAGTTGACCACTTAACTGATTCCTTGAAAGATCCAACACTTGCAGCTTTAGACGATTGTTGCACATTTCCAATGGTAGGGTCCCATATAGGCTGTTATTATTCAGCAAAATCTCCCGCAAGGAGGAGATATTGAATATGGTGGAAGGAATGAATCCTGAGATAAAATTGTTGCTGATGTCTAGTCTCTGTAAACTATGAAGAAAACCTATCTCTCGGGGAATAGATCCCTTGAGATGATTGTCATACAGACTCAGGACTTGTAGCTTGATTAAGAACCCCAAACTTGTAGGCAAGTCCCCAGAGATCTCATTGGAACTCAAATCTAATGATTTCAGCCGACGCAAATGGCCCAATTCACGAGGGAGATTGCCATGGAATTTGTTAATACTGATGTTGAGAAAATTAAGGAATGAGAGGTTGCCAATTTCTTTGGGAATGGTACCTCCAAAACCCATGTTTGGAAGATTCAAGGCCGTCACTCTTTGGCGCCTAGTGCTGCAAGAGACGCCGACCCAACTGCAAAAGGAGGTTCCTTCTGACCAGTTGCTTGCTATGATGTTATTGGAGTCGGAAGTGATATGAGATTTGATGGCTATAAGAGCAGATTCATCTATGAAGTTGCTGCTTAAAGACACAGCCATCAACAAGGGTATTACCAACAATAACACTACTATTACAATCTTCTTTCCCATAATGGTTCTTTAGAGAGAAATTAGAAGAGAGCGAGTCTATGATGGGTTTGAGAGGTTGAGACAGAAGTAGAAGAAATTCATACACTCATTTTGTTCTAAAGAGATTTGAGGCTCGACATAGAGACCATTAGACTATGGCCCTTTCTTATATAGATGGATGTCTTTCCTGTAAGGTTCTCCTTCCAAGTCACGCAGGTATAATTTCATTGTGTCGTGTTTTATGGGTTAGAAAATTGGAAAGTCTTCGTGGAATAAGACATCTAATAATTTCAGTTGTGTTTTCTGGGTTAGACTTGTAGAAGAGAGAGCCAATAACAAATAAAATCTCAAGAGAGATATTTACAGTAGTAGAAAAAATTCATTGTGAGTTGGAAAATATATTAGCATTTGGAAAGTCTTGGTGGAATGAGACATCTAATAACTTCATTGTGTCGTGTCTTCTGAGTTAAAAAAATAAGATAGCATATGGAATGAACTTCGAATGACCGGAGTGCATATCAAGTTTCAACCATTGAAATATAGGGTCGAGGTGGGGACAACACATGCATTGAAGTTATTACACATGGAATGAACTTCGAATGACCGCAGTGCATGTCAAGTTTCAGCCATTGAAATATAGGGTCGAGGTGAGGACAAGACATGCATTGAAGTTATTGTAATAAATATATATAATAGTTATTGTATACGAGAGACTTATAGAAGTGAGATATATATATATATATATATATATATATATATATATATATATTATATATGGTCCATATGGATATCTATGGAGAAGCAGTTTTCATGGCTTCAAACGACCGTAGTGTAGTGCATGTCAAGTTTCAACCATTGAAATATAGGGTCGAGGTGGGGACAAGACATGCATTGAAGTTATTGTAATAAATATATATGATAGTTATTGTCTATGAGAGACTTATAGAAGAGAAAGCCAGTAACAAATAAAATCTCAAGAGATATATATATATGGTCCATATGGATATCTGTGGAGAAGTAGAGTACTAAAACTCTTTGATTAACTTGCTGGAAGGATGCAAAGCTAAAGCAAGAGGGGGGTGATAACTAATAACACAGCCAGTTGGTTGCTAAGATGTGAATGGGTCAGAAGTGAAAAATAAATATATATATATATATATATATATATATATATATATATATATGTGTGTGTGTGTGTGTGTGTGTGTGTGTGTGTAAAGGCTATCCCTATTATATTTTGGGTGAGGGCAGCTTTTAAAGGGGAAGAGGGGTGATGTTGTGCTATATAAAGTAGGGGTGACAAAGATCGACACAATTCGTTAACACAATCTAAACACAATATGAAATAAGCGGGTTTGAATCGTAAACAAGTCAATATGATTAATCTGTTGGTTTGATTTTATGATTTTGATTTTATGATTTTCAAGTGATTAGAATTGCTTAAACATTTGTATTCAGGCAGCTTCTTTTTGGTTTGATTTTATGATTTTCAAGTGATTAGAATTGCTTAAACATTTGTATCCAATCAGCTTGCGTATAGGCGTGTTTAATATTTTTATATTTTACCTTAAATATTTAGATTCTCTAATAACTATCTAAACATTGTCTAATAATTTACTATTTTGTTAACCGACTATTTAGTAATTTGGTTAGATTGAATCTACTATCTTTTTTTTTTTAGTGTTTATTGCTTTTTTCAGTAGTTATTGTAATATGAAAAGTTAATTGTGGACCTGAAACCAAAGTATTTACCCAAAAAAAGAAACCAAATCGCCGTACATTAATCAATATGTTATCCTTTTGAGGACTCAAATGGATTATTATATTCATCTGAAAAAAAATTGCTAAACTGATAAAATATGACCCTAAATAAATAAATAAGACTTGAAAGTGTGATTGCCGAATGGAATATGACTGTTAATACTCAAGGAACAGAACAATTCTATCGGTATATACATGTAAGTAATTATTATTAATATTTTATATATGTAAGTAATTATTATTATTATTATTATTATTATTATTATTTCATTGACAAGAAATGGCCCCTCATTTCCCTCGCTGAAATTGTCTCCACGAATGTTTAAATATATATATGTGTGTCATAATTTTCCATAAGAATTAGCCTGACAATATTTTCGGAAACTCGGGAGAAAAACCCAAAGACGTTTATATATTAATTTTAATAATACACCCTCTACTATTAATTTATTCACAATTAATAGTTGCTCTGATAATTGTAAATCAAATGTATATATAAATAAAAATAATAATAAGAAATCACGAGGTGATTCCTTTAGGGCCGCCCTTATTACTAAAAGGAACTAATTTTTACTTTTATGCTGTTAAAAAATAAAAAAAAACATTTCATGAAAGGATAAGCACAAATTCTCAAACGGTTCTTCAATGGTATTAAAATATCAAATTTATCCAAAATAAAATAAAATCTCTCAAACAAAGTCATAAATTCCCAATCAAATGATTGCAAAAGAGTAAGCAACATTGTAAGACGAGAACAATGACACAGGAAACCCTAACATAAACTGAATTACAGACCACACAGAGTTTCTTGGATAAAGAAGCTGGCCTCATCAATCTTCCTCTTCGCCCTCATTCTCAGCAATGTTGAAGTACCTCAGTTCATAAACATTTCGGTCTTTGTTGGAAGCAATCACCCGAAGCCAATCCCTCACGTTGTGTTTCTTAAGGTATTTCTTGGTCAAGTACTTCAAGTACCTAAACCACAAGCCAACATTCATATGAAATTACAGCCACAAATTAGACCCAACCATCTTGTTCTGATAAAGCAAACATCCATAAGATATTGTCTATTTTCTTCCTATTTATCTTTTGTTTTTGACAAACAGCTTATGGTTTTAAAAATACAAAATTAGGCATACACATTACAGGATATGCGTGTTTCTGCATCAATATCAATAATGGCAGACAATTCAACAGCTAAGTCATTCAAACAAATACAAATTTATCATACAAGTAAAAATATACATATGGTGCCTGGGATCCTGTGTGGTAGGACATTAAAATGAAGGAATTCCTTATTTGGCATGTCAAAACCCATACATCTACTAAATGGCTGCTAAGCTCTGAAGCATAGACACAGCTGAGATGGGGGCCGTACTGGTGACGGACGGTGACTCCTTAGAAGTGACATTAAAATGAAGGAATTCCTTATTTGACATGTCAAAACCCATTCATCTACTAAATGGCTGCTAAGTTCTAAAGCATAGACACAGCTGAGATGGGGGCCGTACCCGTGATGGACAGTGACTCCCTAGAAGTCTTTTTTTATATATATAAATATTGGACACCCCAGACACTGATGGGACACGCTAGAGGACTTTTCTTGTTTAAATAGAGAGGAAGAAGACGAAGAGTGGGCCAAACCATTGTGGAGAAGATTGGATTGATAGTTATGTGGGTATCATATATATCCAAATTGATTTTATGTGTATGAATACACACATATATACAAATCATATGTATATATCCATTCAAAGAGAAAAAAATATGAAAATTGGGAAGAGATGGAAGGGACGAGAGATGATCGGCCAGAAGAGAGGGAGCACAGAGACTTTTAGGGGATGAGAGAGGAGAGAGTGTGATGTGCAGAGAGAGGAGAAGATATAAGATAAAATTTCCATATAATCTTCTTTCACAACTTGTTTGGCCACAAGGAACTTTACTTTTTCAAAAGAAACATGGGCTGGCCAAATTTAAATGGGTTGTGTTTATCATATATATAAGAAATTGAGAGAAACCTATATTACTATTTAATTGCTATATTACTATTTCATTGTCCGTGTCCGTGTCCTATTCCTATTTTATTGAAATTTACTATATCGCTGTGTTGTGCTGTGCTTAAGCCATCAATCACACAAAAAAGAATTCCTAAAACAGTGGGGACATTTCAACAACAATGCAATTCAGATTCTAAAACTTAATAAAATACGGGCAAGGGTTGTTAAGATCTATCCCTTAATTAAAAAACCATCCACAAAATTTCAGTGCCATACAGTCTAGCGTGCTTCTGCTGCACAATATATTTTTTTGTTACTAAACTCCCAAATTCAAAGGATAGTATCAGACACAATCGCCACAAGTAATATAACAGACCACCAAGTGAATGGGGAAGATGTATATATAACTCAGTTTACATATAGGGACATATTAATCTAGAAAAAGATCTTTATATAAGAGAAATGTTCCGAAGGAAGAGTTATTAGAAAAGAAATAGAACTTACTTTAAATGGAAATTGGAAGGAAAACTTTTGAAAAAAGAACATTAAAAAATAACCTTTCTAAATATATTATTTTATAGTTGTCAAAATTTGATTACATACAAATTTAAGCGGTCCTGATCTCCAACCTTTGCAACTTAATGCAATAGAGAGAGCCGTTAAAGGCCTTCAAAATTATAGAAGTACATGAAAAATGTAAATCATGGAAAATAAAGCTAACAATTCATGTACAAATTTACAGAATACAATATACTATACATATACCTAATACTTTATAACAGCTGATATATGTTACAGCTTTATATTGACATTATAATATCATTAAATGCTCCACATATATACTACCTAAAATAATGCTTTCTATATACGATGCACAACATAACACGATTGAAGAAAAGCATAAGAACATATGACAGTAAATTAACAGTCAAATTCATACATCACATGCATATAAATTATGCATTAAGGATTAGCCTTCTCATTTCAAAATTTTGTAGAGAGAACAAAAATTCTACATTGTAGTCGAGTCATGAACATGATGGCTGCCATCATGAAACCATTACACACCTATACACACAGACACTACAATGTGGTTTTACAACACACATCCTTTAAAAGGGAAAAATAGAGAGAGGTCCACAGAAGAGAGGAGTTGGGAGGGGGGCAGGAACCCAAGTCCTCTCCAGTGTACCGTGCAGTGCCACTCACTGGAGAGGATTCTCTCTCCCTCTGTCTCTTTGAGAGAGTAGGTTTTTTAATGCTTTATGTATAATCCTATATTTTGCATAAATCACTTATATTTTTATAACACTTTATAATACATTTAAGAATTATATAAAATTTTGCAATCTGCTTATACAAATATTTGTGTACTTAGTGTAATTTGCTTATATAAAA